CCAGGCCTTGTACATTATGTTCATATGCATACATGCTGGATGAATTAGTGAGAATGAAAAAGTTTATACTTTTGAATCTTCCACTTACAACAGTGGCTCTCTAAGTCCTACCTCAAACTACCTCAAAGGTAAAAACAGCCTGTGCTTATGAAAAGCTATTTTTTTTATTTAGTAAATCCACCCTTCTGAAACTTTATAAAACCTATGATATGAATTATATTAATAAATTATAAAGGGTTTTTATTTACAATGTGGACTATAGAACTTTTCACCTAATTCACACCTTTCATTGGGTCTCTGTCTTTCTTTATTATTTGTTGTTTTATATTTTCATTTTATTTATCCTTTGATCAATCAGTTTAGGAAAGGAAGTTAATTTGTGAAAAATTATGATTTTGACTTAAATAGACAATAAAGAAGCTAAAGAAAATTGAGAGAACATCTTTTAAGATGACTCAAAGGGGTTCAACTTAAAATATCTAACCTAAGCAGTAGGCAAATAAAATAAAACCCTCTTAGAAATGCATTGAATGATTAATGTACCATCTCAATCTCAAGAGCAATTATATATTTTGACACACAGATGTACAAATTACACAAGTAGACACTTGCAAAAGACAAAAGAGAAACAGATGGTGAATTCCATGCAAAATAACTCAAGAAGAAATCAACACACTCTGATACCATACAAGTGGTATCAGAGCTTAGTTCAATACCAGCTAATAGAGAATAAAAAATGGAAAGCCACTAAATCTAAATATCTGTGAAGCAAAAGACTGGCACAGTGTGAAATAAGAAAGTATTAGTGTGCAAACATTTGATTTTGCTTTTATAAAAGATAATAAATGTAAAATAATATAATCAAATAATAGACCATTTCTTTAAATGCATTTTTTCAGCTCCTACTCTGAAAATTTTAAAATAATGTCTTGGTTCTTTAAAAGTCATTTACCCTAGCAGTTTTCAAGGATAGCAAGAAAAAGTTAATTTCTGGACCTTTATTTTTTGTAGAAAAAAAATGATACTAGCATTTCTAGGGGAAAACATAGTATTTTCTCAGATGTAAGGATGGAAACTAAAAATCACTGATCTGCTGTTAGTTTAGAAGCTGATGCTGAGCAAAACAATTCAGAAAACATTTTCTGAATGCTGCAAACCCAAGATGGTCAAACCATTATTTTTTCTGGTGGTCAATTTCACTTCTTGGACTAGTTAGCAATCATGCCCAAATGTTGCCCCTGCACTACAATTCAAATACCTAATCCCATATGTCTGTATTTCTTCTGTGTTTCTGGAGTCTGAATTTTTGGTAGGTAATATACTAGGCACACTTGGTAAGTAAAATGAAAAAAAAAAAAAAACAACTAAATTACAATGTCCAAGAGGTCTTAAAATGGATAAATGGATAATTATAAATTGTGTACCCTGACCTGCTGTTGAAAAACTGTTTTGAATAGAACAGATTTTTTATATCACTTCAATAACACTTAATTCTGACTACTAAGCCTCTAAGCTCACAAGAAGTAATGGAGTAAAAGCATGCCCATAGCTACAATCTAAAGGAAAAAGCAGCTCTCAATTAATACAAAAGAATAGTAGAGAAATGCAAGTTCTTCCCAATGTGATGGCATGCCCACAGATTTAAATTATCTGTTGTGTTCATTATATTTTTATTGCCACTTTAGTCACACAGCCCAAGCTTCCTGTAAGAGCCTGAAGTTACAATGAATAGCAATTTGGTAAAGTCTTTAGACTCCAGGGTACAGTTATTTTCTGACTTGGAGTAGTTTCCCTATGTCTTTAAAGTATACAGAAACACAAGTATTTTTTGACAGTTTGTTGCCAGGATAATGATTTTTATCTCTGTAATTGGTAACAGTTGATTATGATAAAGATTAAAATGAAAAAAATCCAAGCCTGAAGGGAAGCATATTAGTTTCAAAAATTCCATTGTGTCAAAAAGTGGCAAATGAAATTATTTTTACAAATGAATTACATGGCATTTTTAAGTTAAAAAACAAACTTTAGAACATTTCTATTATGACCTTCTGCTCCCATACCTTGCACAATTATGTTTGCTGTAGCGTGGATGGAGCCTTGTATATTGTTGGCATGACAAGTGAATGGACCTTGATCCTGCAGTGTGATGTTCTGTAAGTAAAGTCCTCCTGAAGTTGCCACATGTCTGGGTCCATCTAGTGACACTCCATTGCCCCTGGTCCAAGTGATATGGGGGTGTGGGTGGCCAGAGGCCATGCATTCTAAAGTTGTGCTGGTACCAATTAGAACCTTTTTGTCCTGGGGCTGTATAATAAAACTTGGTTTGGCTATGGGGAAAGAGGCAAACAAAACAAATTATAAATACTAGTTTGAAAGATTTATGTATTCTACAGAATGGGTTTAAGATCACTATCATTTCAAAAGGAATTAATATGTAAATATTACACACCCACATTAAATTCACAAAAATTGAATATAAAAGAAAATTTAATCTGGATTTATAAACATATAATATATAATATATGCATATATGAGTTTTAAAAATTCTATTGTGTCAAAAATAAGTAGCAAATAAAATTACTTTTACAAATGATTTACATAAATTTGTTTAGTTGAAAAATAAAGTTCAGAACATTTAATCATTACCTTCTGCCCCCAGGCCTTGTACATTATGTTCATATGCATACATACATACATGCATATATATATATGGTTTTTATTTAAAAATTCCTTTTCTCAATGTCATGAGGCATCATGGACATTACTAATGTTTAACTATTCCTTACTTTAGGGGCTAAATATTCAGATGTTACCATGGAAGGATATCCCTTTTCAAGTGTCCCTTGCAATTAAAGATGATCTATGTGATACAGTTCTGCCAGTGAGATGTAGTAGATCACAGCAGCAAGAAGAGTCTCCTTCCCAAATGGAAAGGCAAAGTCTAATTAGGCATCACTCTTTCTCTTGTTTTCTCTCCGGGATTTAGGCATGAGTTTGGTGATGTTGTGTAGGAAAAATAGAGGATTAAGTAGAGAGTACTTAAGACTAGGAACACAGATATCATTAGATCACTAGGTTAATATGACAGTTTTGTACAGACTCAAAATATATCAAATATTTTCATTCACCAAATGATTTCTAAATGTAAAATTTATACTTCAATACACTATGCTCCACTCTTACTGGTTCACACCTTTCAATATTATAAAAACCTCAAGCAGAAATTAAAGACTTAGTGCGATGTTTAAAATTCTTAATCATTAAGTCTAAGTTTTAGGGGCTACTTAATTCCTAAAACATACATACTCTGAAGAATAGAGACAAACTGATGTAATCTAATACAAGACTCAAGTTTTAATTCAATTTTTAACAATATTGAATGCCTTGAGTATTTAGCAAAATGCTAGGTGCTGAGATTTTAAAGATGTATGCATAAGGTATATTCCTCTTTGCTTGTTCATCCTTTAGCCACAGAGATAAAGGACAAAACAACCACCCTAAAAAAAAAAAAAATATATATATATATATATATATATATACACACACACACAATATAAATATATATTATATATTATATATAATATATATATATAATATATATACAATATATTTTAGAAACCATTGCATTATGTCTAAGGGTAAGTACTATAGAAAACTGTGCTGAAGGAGGTTCAGAAAAAAAATATTACAATTATTGAGGAGAGGAAGTGAGTCAGTGGCAACAAAAATATATAGAAAAGACACATCTTGCCATCCTTAGAAAACTGGATGTGTAAGCTAAAGGGGAATCACAAAATATTTGGAGAATATCTATGGTGACCTGTATATTATAAAATTAAGGAAGGAACTTGAAATGAAATTCAATAGAAAAAAAAAGTTTCTCTAAATAAAATTATAAAAAAATGATGAAATAAATAATTATTTCCTTTTTAAGCATTACATACTTCAGAAACTATATAAGGTCATTTTCTGGTGCAAGTAGCTGATGCACAATTGCTGCATTTACATTAACTTCAATTATGAAAACAACTTCCCACCTGGAGGACTGGAGTATCTGAGCATGGCATTCTGAGTCTTGACTTCTCCCACTGAGTTCCTGGCCATGCACTGATATGCACCTTGATCTGACTCTCGAGTGTTTCTGATCATGAGAGTCCCATCATCAAACAAATTAAGTCGGTTATCATCTCTCAAATCCAATGAATGGCTAGAAATACATGGAAATGCAAAGCCAATGAGCAGCTGAAATACATGTTCACATATATATTATTAAATCTCAATCATCTTTAAAACTTAAACAAAATAGATATGGTACTCTAAATTATTTCAAGTATATCAATTTGTTAAAATTTTTATTACTGTAATTAACCAAATTGAATTGGGGTTTAATTTTCCCCTTCCATTTATTTCTGAGACAGTATCCTGAATACAGATTTCAAGACAAGAATGAAAGAATTTTAAATACCTTTCCGTCTAGGGTAGCATGAGTTTATAGACTAAAGCAAACTCCCCTGTGTAAAGAAAATTTTAGCAAATTGTCATGTCTTTGAATTTCTACTAAGAGATCATCAAATGCTGATATATGAGTTTCTTTTTTCTGTGGGTCAGTCAATACACATTCATATTTTGTTAAGTGTAAAAAATTCATATTTATGTCAACATGACTCAAAGTCAAGTATGATTTAGCATTAAATAAGGACTTACCAATTAGCTATTAGACCATCTTATCTGACTTCATTAACCTTAGTATCTCCAACCAAAGATACTAGAAAAGTATAATTTATTAATGAAAATGGAAAATTAATTAACTGACTACAAATAGTGATCACTACCACCCAGAAAGCTCAGATACATAGCATAATGCATTTCATCAGTAAAAATAAGAAAGTAAGTATATTTATGGGTAATTTTTAGAAATAAATTAAAAATCACTGATAAAAAGCATGCTGGAAATTTTTAATTAATTGCTTTTTGATCACACATTTTAAAAGTATTTAATGGTCATGTGTGAGGATACCTGTAATCACATGAATATGCTTAGTATTAATGAATGCAAGTATTCATAAGAGAGGAAATCTCTCCCCATCATTTATCCCTCAATAAACATTTATTATTCACCTACTATGTCACCCACTGATAACAGTTACTAGAGAAAAATTTCAACTTGAATTATTCCAGTTTTTCTCCTTTAAGTTTGTTTCTGTTTCAAGTCAAATATATTTATCTATTAATTGGACAATGTGCTGATGCTGAACAGTAGTATAGTAACTCAGATTGTTGTCACATATGTAGAAAACTATGTTAGAGAGATGGAGAAGTAACTTTTCTTTCCTACTAATGAGTCTAAAAAATTCCCCAAAATTATATTGATGAATGGATGATTTCTAATTTTATAACCTTACATTTGAAGGAAGAGGTCTTTATGAAATTGACTTTTTGCTATGAGTTGATGTCTAGTTTCTTCACACATGCTAAGTTTTGGTGCATGTTCCATTGTTACTTAAAAACAGTTTTGTTTATTTTTTCATTTAGTAGATACATGTATATATATACACATATCTATACTAATATTCTGCATTTTATATATATACACATAATATATATGCATATTATTTATAAAATCAGAATCCTCATGTTGTTTAGATATTAAAGTTAGTATTTAATATTAAATTGGCCATAAATAAGTCTGTGTCAATTCATTCTTGAAATTCCCTCAGTTTTATTTTTGTTTCTTACTTTGTTAGGAATTTATGAATCTTATATCTAGGAAACTTTTCTTTTTGTCACTAAGTATGATTTAATGATACGCAACATACACATTTGCCTCAAAATTTGTTTTGGTTGGCATTAATATGGTTAATCACCTTTATCTGGATGACTATCACTTTATTGTTTTCTGTTTATCACTCTAATGTTTTAGATAGCACACAGCTGAATTTTTAATCCAATCTAAAAATGTCTTACAAAAGTCTATTTAAACCTAAATAAGCTTTGTCTTACCAATGTATTTGCATTTATTTACAATGAAATGTTGTGTTTTCTTTATTCATGACTTTGCCTTTATCATTCCCTTTCCCTTTTATAATATTAAACAGTTTTCTTTATTTATTCTGTCCCTTCTTTGTAAATTGAAGTTGTATATGTTTGCTTTTTAGTATTATACAATAATGCTAGCATATCTTCTTGATTTACCAAAATCTATGTTTAATATAATCCTCCACATAAAATGAAATGGAATTTGATTCTACTATGTCCGCTCTCCTTCCTATTCTTTTCTTAGCATTGTCTAATGTTTTACTGCTACCTTGCTTAAAATTCAGTCAATACTTCAACAACCTCATCATATTCAGATTTGTCAACATATTTAAAAAATACTTTATTCACCTTTGCTTCTTATATCACACTTCCCTTATGAATCCAATTTCCTATTTACTGAAGCACATCTATTTATGTTACTTTATTTATTTATGTATTTTGACACCTCCTGTTTGGTTTAGTATTCAAACTTCACTGCTATTTGTAATACATGTTGAGAAAATAGACTATAAAAGATAATAAGTGACTGTTATGTTTATTTATATCCCCGTGCAGTGACAACTCTCTTTCCAGAGATGATCTGAGTTCCATTTAACTCATTTATCCCCAGGGAACACTTCAAGGCTATTCTTGGTTGAGTCCATTTGGTAATGGAACCTGCTCTGGGAATGAATGTTTTCTCATCCCAATGCATGTGCTTGTTCTGTCCAGTGTTTCTGATTGCATGGCTTACAGTAGATTTGGAGAGATTCATTTTGTTCTTAAACACTTTAAACCTTTATCAAGTCTCAGATTCTGTTCCATGAGAAGGTTTAGCACATTGCAATTCACAGTGACAATGAATATTGGCTTTATGATGAGAAATGGTATAATCAATGTTTTAGTTTCCATCTCTACTCATAGGGATTATGATCCCCTGTGGTGTCTTCCAATTGTCTGTTTCACTTATATGCTTTACTATTTATAATTCCTTAATAGATTATTATATCTTAATTCCTATTTACATTTTATGGATTATCTTTTTGAGGAAGAAAACTGAATTATAACATTTATATGTTGCAGGTGTGAATATTGTATTATTTAATGTAAAGAAAGAATTGTGTATACAAAGCAAGTGTATCAACCACATTAAGTTCACAACTGAAATCCCAATTCTACCTTACCCACTGCATTCCTCCCTTTTCTTCTGGTAACTACTAAAGAATGCCAGTCCAAGAGTTTACTTTTGTTTGTTCATCTGCTTGTTTTCTCAATATATCACACATATAAGTGAATATTTCTGTTAATATTTCTCTTTGGTTAATTTCACTAAAAATAATATTCTTAGGGCTGTTTCCCAACAATTACCTTCAAGCCTATATACACCTTTGGAATTCATATGAGTTTTCTGGAGACAGCAGTAAGTTGGAGTTTGTTTTCTGATCCTATCAGTCACTTTGTCTTTTAATTAGTGATTTCAGTCAATAAATTTAGGGTGATATTTATATAGGAGTACATGCTACTACCTATAGTCTTTAGTTTTCTGGTTCTATCTACTTATCCCCTTGTTAAATTTATGTGATTTTTTTAATTTAAATAGGAGAACTCTTTTTAAACATTTCTTGTAGGGAGAGTCCAGTGTGCTGGAGAATTCCTACAGATTTTTAAAAATTATTAGATAGATATATTTTATTATTATGTATTATATATTTTATTATGATATTTATTATATATTTAACATTATATGTAAATATAGTATTAATTATAGTATTTATATTACATTATATTATAATATTACATTATATAATTGTATTATATTATTTATTATATATTTTTTGAAGTGGCAGCTTTTATCTTTTTTATTTTGAATATGCCCCTCCATTTTTTCCTTCCTAGAGAATGTCTGCTAAAAAATATGGTGAAAGCTTTATGGGATTATTTTTATAAGTTACCTGCAAATTTATTTTTCACATCACAGTTTATCTCTTTATTTGTCTGGGTTATTGTATATTATTATATTTGAGGTCAGTCATTCAATGCTTATGTGTTCTCTTCTGCTCTCATAGCCTTTCCGGAATTTTAAATTTCATTTTCTGAGCTCTTTACATCCTCAATCACTGTTATTTTCTTAAGTAAAACTTTCATTTCTATCCTATATTCATTAATTTTATTTCTGAGCACATTTATTTCTCTGAGTTCTATTGGATTTATATGAATCACTTTTCTGAGTTCAGTTATATCTCATTGATTTGTTTTTTTGTTTTTTTCCTTTTTTTTTTCTTAATCTCTGGCTTTCTTTATTACAGCAATTTTGAAATGTTATCTGATAAGGAGATATAGTGTCCCATGCCTTTGTGGTTGGAGTCTGTTGAATTGTTCTTCCTTGTGTTGTCATGTTTTCTTGAGATTGCATAGCATCATGCATTATATTTTTCTTGCTTATTTAGCCACTCTAATTTTTCTATATTTAAAAATATAGAGAGGTAGTAGCACATTATAAAGTGCTGCTTTATTAAAGCACCAAAGCACCACAGGAGGTGCTTGGGCGTTATATTTTTAAGATTTATTTATTTATGCTTACAGAACTGGAGTACAGGCCAAAAAGTACAGAGGGAGCGAGAGACTTCACCAGAGACAGAGCGGGGAACAAAACAGGCAGATTGACAAAGTACGCTGTTGAGGGAAGCAGCGGGCGGGTCAGAATAGTGCCACGTCATGTGCCTCAGCTCCCTGGCTGGGGATCGAATTTGTGCTGCAGTGGCTTTAAAGAGCTTCATAATGAGATGCTTTAATCCATTGTGCCACCAGGGAGAGCCCACTCCGGTTTTATTTGATTTGGTTTAATATTTTTTAATTTTGCTGGGTTCCACAGACATAGTAAACTATTTTTGCAGTTGCTGAATTAGCATTCGTGGGGGGTGGGGGGTGGGAAAAGAGAGCTGGAGGTCCTAATGGTGGTACTGCTGATATAACTTCATTCTGGAACTCCAGATCTTAGATTCTTATATCTACATGCTATCAATGATTTTCATGAAGTCAATCTTAGGTCTGATGGTGAGGTAATGGAAGAGTAGTTCAGAATACCATCTCTTTTCCTTACTGAGGAATCAAACTGTGTGTATCACTGCAAGTCACCTGTATGTGTTTCTCCTCCCTCAGGAGTATTTGCCTGCATATAACTTTTCCCTTCCTTCTTCAGATCCCTGGCTTCTGTAACCCCTATCTCAAGCCATAATCTTTAAATATTTCTATCCACACACCTATGAAATCTGACTTTTCTCTGTTTCCTCTTTACAATCTGTCTTGCTCTGTGATGTTCATGGGTTCTCAAGCCAGAGGGAATTCCCAGGTGTAGCATTGCTCTGGTTAACTCTTAGATGACCTTTTCAGTAGTGAAGTTAGGAACCTTCACTTGTTGCCACATTAGTGGCATCTAAATTCTTCAGCTGAAATTTTATTATTTATGAAAAATTAATAGTTGTCCCTCCAAACAGTGACTCCCATGTTTTGTTTCTAATATCCTTTCTGGAATTCACACAGGATATATTTGGAACTTTGCATTATAAACTCTATATCCCTAAGCCACTCGAAAGTCTGGTTTACTCCCAAGAAAGGGACTCCTTATTAGCATTTGATGAATTGAGAACATTTATTTTTAGCTTGGTTTATGTTAAACATATGTTTGTTTCATATTATTTTCTATATCACAGTTTATATTCCATACACTTTCAGAATATATATGTGTATATGCATTATTTTTGTATTACAAATACTGAACAAAATTTAATAATTGATATTTGTTGCTATAAAACATTTCTTATAATAAATTCTCTCATCTCTGATGTTTAGTGTGAAATAGCTATTATTTTACCTTTGCTTCATCTTTTCTTCAGTTTCTTTTTTCTTTTTCATTTTCTGTTTCTTTTTAAATGCATCACTATATTAATATTCCATTGGGCAATTTAATTTTTCATTTGCCCTTTTCTAAATAGTAGTCAGTACCTTGGTAACCTTGAACAGATAATGACTGAATTTATAGTGTTAGGTAGGAGAGTAATCAGTTTTAAGATAGTACAAGCAGCAATTTCTGTTTCTCAAGTATCCTTGAGCCATCTCCAGATTGAAATAAATTGAAGTATTCTAATAATTGAAGTCTTTCTCTTGGGCTAGTTCCAGATATAATAATATTCATAATTAACTTGATTCTGAACTACTCCAGAGTAAAACGAGACTTTAAGGTATATTTCATAAGCATGTTTGAGTTTCTAACTACAATTAGCAGTCCAAATTACATGCAAAAACTAAGCCTTTTGTAATAGCTCAGAATATTTTATGAAAATGCATAAAAACTAAGTTGATTGTACATGCAATAAAAAATCAAGAAGACTGTATGAAAGAATGCAAAAACTATATGCAAATTATGCTAGTTACTAGTGATGTAATAATCACAATAATATGATCTTACTAGTACTATCATTACATTTTGTTATCATTTATTTTGTTACCATTCCACTCTTTTTTTAGAACTTTAGTTTTTTATGTTTATTATTATTATTATTTTCAGTAATAAATAATACAGTTTATGTGGTTTTAAAAAATTGTGGTGACAATAAAATGATAAGAATAAATAAATAGTATTTTAAACAATTGCATATATTTATCAATTTACTTGCATATAGTCTTTTTTACTTTATATATATTACACATCATTTTTCCTTTTTTGCACAATGTATGCTTTCTCCTTTTAGATGTATTCCCTGTAAAATTCCCACCACCAATTCACCTGTGAGCCATCACCACAGTACCTTATGCTCTTCTATCCTCTGTTGATACTGTGCCTTCCTTCTCACCTGCAGAACATCTCTGATTTATAATTTTATATTTTAATTTTTATATTTTTCCTGATCCCCAATATTCCTTCTATAAACTTATACTGACTTATTATCTCAAAGTCACAACACTGAATATGAAATATCAGTTTGAATCAAAATATTTAAGGCAGAGTTATAACAAGTTATATTTTAAAGATTTTAAAGCACTCTAGCATGTTTTTTCAGAAATATTTTTTGTTTAATGAAAAGCCTTTGAGGTACTTTGGAAAGTCAGTAAATGAGAGTTAATAAAATTGTTACCTAAGATATTGTGTTAATTTCAGATATTTAGTCTCTAGACAAATTATTTGAAGAAAACTGGATTACTGATATTGAAATTTGATAATTGATAATTACATAAGCTCATGCCCATTATTTACTTGTTATGTAGCCAAATAATCTTAGGTTTGGGGTTTCCTTCAGCCCGGCAAGTGAAGTAGACAGTATTTCCTGATGTTACCTCCGCATCTCGTGGCTCAAAAGTAATTCGAGGACTCTCTATAATGAATAAATTATTAGTATACATTAAAATATACAAATGATATCACTGTAGATGTTACTGAGAAAGAACAATAATTAAAATTTCCTTATACATTAAAATTTTACATATTAAACTTCCTTTATTCAGTAATACAGGTACCAGTTAGACATTATATCTAAATTTCATTTAAACTTTAAATGTTTTAAAGACTCACTGAATAACAAACAGTATTGCCAGAGAAGTAAATGTTCAGGTGCTTTCACTTCTCATAATCTCTTACAATATTTATGAGAGGAATTTGATTTCATGGGATAATATTTCAAAAACAAGTAGTTAAACTGAACTTGTAATCAAGCACAAATTGGTTGGTCATCTAACTACCTACTTTATACTATATAGGAATTTATATGTCTAGACCTCAAAAATGGTAAAGCAAATCACTTAGCAATATAAATTGATGATTTGATTCTGAAATGATAATTGACTATTTAAAACATGGAAACATGGATTTGAAATAATCTTAATAAAGAAATGAAGTGATTGATTTTTTTAATGAGTCGGGTAATGTTCTTTTAAAAGGAACAATATACAAAAAGTAATTTTAATTTTCTTCAGCAAATTTTCACATTTCTTTAAGCCATTCTATTATGACAAAGCTCTTGCCTTTTATAGCTGTGCTGAGATTTCTAATCTCTAAGTAGCAATACACTTAGCATGTCATATATTCTCCTTCCTAAAATGTCAAATTATAGAAATAGCTAATAGGTTATCCATTTTACAAAATGTTCATATAATCAACACCATGGCTTTCTACAATTTGGAAAATGGTTTTATTCATTTTTATTATTAAAGAATATATTCATTTATACTTTTTTCTTTTTATACTTTTTTCTATAAAAGTTTGTATATTGTGTCAGACACAATGCTAAGATTAGTGATGAGGCATAATCAAAACAGAAAATATCCATACTCATAGTATGAGATTTACTGTAGCAACTAAAATTAAACCAAAGAACTGAACAAAAGCATATGTTACAATTAAAAGATAAATATAAATGTAGATAATAAAAGATACAATGATAAAATACGTTAACAAATATATTAATAAAAATAACATTTTATTATTGATGAAAATAAATTTCATATTAGGTGCTTATAGCAACACTAATTCAGTGTGTATGGTAGAGAGAAGAGGGATGAGCAGTGAGAATAGGTAAGCTTTTCCAAGTAATTAATATTTAAGAAGAAGGTTATTGAGTCAGGAAAGAAATGTAAACAAATATTGTCAGTAGAAACAGAATGTAGACAATCTTTGAGTTATAAAAAAGCTGAAGGACATCTAGGGACTGAAAGGACATTGTGCTGGCTAAACTGAGTAAAGAGAAGTAAAGAATTAACAAAAGATGAAGAGTAGCCAGGGTTAACAACAGGCAGGAAACACTGACCATGTCAAAGATTTTATGTGTTATTGTAAGGTGGAAATCTAGAGAAACATTAGAACTAAAGAATGATGTCATCAGATATGAATTTTTAAATGATCTCCCCCTATGTAAAGATTAAAGTGGGATAAAAATAAAAACTGGAACATCATTTAAGATATAGTGTTTCCTGACAAAACACAGCTGTGGCATATATTAGAATTCAGTAGTAAAGAAGGAAAGTAGGGAAAATATGAATCTAAACTGGAAATGAAAACCAACAAGTCATTTTATTTTTTTAGTTGGATGGAATTAAAGTATTTTAATATAATGTCCCAAACTACATCCTAGATAAATTTGAATGCTGGCTTTTCAGTAAGTACATCATTAAAAGGCAAAGTTCTACCAAAAATTATCATCTGAACAAATTTCTAAGAAGTCCAAATATATCACATACACATGTATGTGCATATGCCACTACATACATGTTTGTGTTTAGAGTAATTTATTCAAATTTAAATATGCATGATAGGAATAAGATTATTATGTAAATAGGTTATCAGATATTATTTATATTTAAACATTAAGTGAAAACCAAGCAATATAATATGAAGCCATTATCAATTTTTAAATGAACCTACTTAGATTTATTGAAGTCATCAAAATATTATTAAATCCAGGCTCTGCAATATCATAAAATATGCATAGCCTTATTAATTAGATTGTCATTATATAAGGTATATGTGTGGCTCTATTTTATCTAATTTGTTGAGGGATTTTTTTTACATTGAATATTAGCAACTAGTTCACCTAAAGTTGTAAAACAACTTATTAGAAATAAGTGATACTGAGGTATAAATGATGACTTTAATGCTGGCCAGACTTCTGATTCTTAATGAATAAAATATAATAATTAAAATTATGGAAGTTAGAATAAACTATCTCCAAGTACTCTCCCAACCCCAACAGTTTATGATGTTAAACAATTCTTAAATAAAAATGCAGATGCTAAAAGTGAAATTGCTATATTTTCCCCTAAATCCATCACAAACTTTTTCTGACTACATACCCTTTCAACTACAGGATTACATAACAGCCTATATAGAAGGATTGCAAACAAAAGACATTGTGTTGTTTATACATAGAGAAAACAACTAACCACAATCAAATTCCTCTACAGACACGGAAGTGATGGCACGTCCGTGGAGCCTTCTGGGATGTTCACATGTAGCAGCAGCCTGAGTTTGGTCATCGCGGGCATAATGTTGCATAAGTTCCCATAGCCATATCAGGTCACAGTCACAAATAAGAGCATTAGAATCCAGACGCCTAGGCATGCAGTAAGAATTACAACTATTAAAGGTAAACATTAACTTCTATTTTAAATTTCTTGAATTAAAATATCCAATTTCTTCTAATATACTTACTCTGTTACATTTTTTAGTACAATATTCTAAATTACCAACAAACACTAAAGTAAACACTTGTCTAGTCTCATATGTTGGGGGATACATAGAGACTAAAAAATGGTATTTACTACTAAACAAGTGCTATATTATTTGGTTATAAGTAAATGTTAAAATTAAATAAATGCCCATTTTTAGAGAAAATTAAGAACTAATACACAAAGGACACATAAACATTGATTCAAAAGGACACATGCACCCCCATGTTTATAGCTGCTTTATTTACAATAGGGAAGATATGGAATCAACCCAAATGCCCAAAAATCAATGACTGGATTAAAAAGATGTGGTACATACATAAAATGGAGTATTACTCAGCAATAATGCCTTTTGCAATTACATGGACGGAGCTGGAAGGGGTCATGCTTAGTGAAGCCAGAAAGAAAAAGAAAAATATTGGATGGTTTCACTCATAGCAGGATTGTAAGGGAGCAATTAAAAAAAATACGCAATTGTAATAAAGTAAAAATGAAAAACAATGAACAACTATAAACTAGACATTTTACAGGGGTTGAATTGGATCAAAACTGGGTTGAAAGAGTCCACAGGATTATGGTGATGGAATTCGGGTGAACTGGTGGTGGGAAGCCCATGGAGATTACACTCAAGATGAAAAAATTCACAAAATGAAGAATGATGTAAAAAAAAAAAAAACTTAAAAAAGACACTACTTATAGCCCTCCCTGGTGGCGCAGCGGGTTAAAGCACAGCACTAAGAAGTGAAAGCCACTTCCGCATGAGTTCAATTCCACCTGCCCCGGAGGTGACCACATGGTGTTGCAGACCTCTCCTGACCCACCCTCTGCTCCCCTCAGCAGTGTACTTTGTCGATCTGCCTGTTCTGTTCCCCACTCTGTCTCTGGTGAAACCTCTCACTGCCCCTGAGCCTCTGGACTGTACCCAGTTCTGTATGCACAAATAAATAAATCTTTAAAAAAAAAAAATACACTACTTAAAGTAATAGACTTTGTTGTAAAGAAAACCACAAATATGCCACATATAATTCACTGAATCATCCTAAATAATTAACTTTCTCCTGCAAACTTCCTTTACATCAGCACGAATAGTTTCCTTGTATTTAATTTTCCCTAAAGGATAAGAATAGAGATAGGAGGTTTGATTTTTACATTTTATACCAAATGAAAATTTTACAAATATATTATGGAAACAATGCATTTTTACAAAGGCTTATATCTTGAATTTTCTCCTGCAGATTGTAATGGGAAAGAGTTTTACATTTCTTTTTGGTAATTGCTATTCTAGGCATAAAACTACTCACTTTTACTAAGTCCTATTAAATTTTTCTTCTCTTTTGTAGCAGATTTTTCTCATGAGACAAAATTAATAGACAGTCGAAGAGATTTATGTTGTATACCTCCATTCTCACTAAGAGATGTATAATAAAAGGACACAGATGATAAATTACCACTTGTATTCATCCCAAAAGATAAAAACGGTAGAATTAACTAAATGGACTCGCCAATCTCTCTATAGTGGCAATCAGGTCACATTCTAAAAAGAAAATTGCAAAGATTAAAGGATAATATGACTAAATCATATTCATGATAAGAAAGTAGGAGATGTTTAAACATTGTAGTAAGTAATGTTTTAGGTCATTTATAATTGCTGCTAACATGTATAAGATGCTCTCAAAAACACCTGAGAAAACAAAGGAATTTAAACAACAATTTACATATAAATTTAGAACATGCCTAGTTGTTTTAAGAGTACTTATCAAAATCAGTATATTGGGAGAGTAACTTTGTTTGGAAAGTAAAAAATAATAAATGAACATATTCTTCCTTAGATATGGAACACAGAACACTTCCAGAAAACTATACATTGAAAAATAAATTTAATAGAGTTGTTATGTGATGATTTTGTGAAGTATATTGTAGATACTCAGTTCATAAGATTGTTACAGTACCACAGGAGCCATTAAGGCTCACAGATGCCTTGGAGCATAAATGACTTTTCTGAGGTCTACCTTCAGAATTTCAGGGCAACCCACTGTGTACAGCTTGTAAATTAAGCCCAAGATCCACAATATTAGCCTGAACTACACTGAAGTAGCCCCAGGCCAGCATTCCTTGAGCCCATGGCTGCTCACATGAGCGTCTGGCCCTGCTGAAGCTAGCTTTGGCTGTGGCTCCCCTAAGAAGACCAACACCACCAAGACCACCTGAACTTAGCATAGGGCAGGTCTACACCTAGGCCTGGATTTTGCTTATAAATGCCATACTGGAGTTATAAATAGACCAATCAGGTTCAAGCTCCCCAATGACCAATCAGATTCAAGATCTCACTAGTTCTATTCAACTATTTTGAGGCCAATCTGGATTGTAAACTTATCAATCTGACTGGAACTCATCTGGAACCAATGTAACTTGAAATTGTGAATGGACTTATCTGGCTTGAAAGGTAGTGACCCTAAAGATATAAGCTACAGCAATAATAAGCTTGAGGTATTCATCAGATAACTTCAGTCAGATTTATTGGGGCAGAGACCTCTGTAAATTTCAAGACCTTCATAAACCTTCGCAGAGACCTTCACAGAGACATTCTCAGAGGTTTTCATAGAGACCTTCTGAGATTTATGAGACCTCCACAGGCCTTTATATCTAGTATCTAGTACCTATCTCCTGCCCTGACTGCAACATCGCCTACAGAGAGTACCCTTGGTCTATTCCTGATGTCTCTAAAAGAACTGCATGCAGTTGGGTTCAGCCCAGCATTTCTGAGAGCTGTTTGCTGTTGCCATGACATCATCTGTTAGATCTGTGATACTGGTGCCTGTTTTCTAGCACATTCACTGGCTGACCAGTGCTGACTGTCATTACTGACCGGTATCCAGCAATCTTTGAGACAATTCCACCATTTCTGATCCTCCAGCACTACCTCCTGGTGCTGTTGTATCTGGAGGACTGGATTGGCATTGTTCAGCCAGTGTTCATGGCTGCCCTGTCCAGCCTTATGACTCCTATTGGTGACTGCTGCAGTGTCAACTGTGATTACCCAACTGTGATTACCTCTAGCTGCCACTGTGATTTGGATCCTGGTCCACCACTTAATGGTGTGCCAGCACCTACAGGCTTTCATAGAAGAGACAGCACCATATTGTCTGATTAGCCTTTGTTTTGGACTACTGGACACTCTAGACACTATCTGCATTCAGCCATTAGTGGCTTAGAAACTTCTTTATCCAATTTTCTTTTGTTAAAAAAAAAAAAACTATTCCTATATCCTGAGCATGGCTGGTGTCTTGCAATTATGAGTACACAAGTGAGAACTCACAAACTATGACCTATCCCCAAGCCTCAGAACTGTTTTAATATTGCTTTTAAATTATATTACACTAAAAACAATAGCTATACTTAGTAGCATTAAATTGCTAAGGGGTAAAAAAAAAAAACTCAAGCTCATTAAAAAGCTACCTAAATGGTATAGATTTCATTTTCTTAACACTTCAATCAGGGGTTCACATTAAACTAAGGCAGTCAAGTCAGAGTATTCTCTTTTCTCAAAAGAGAATACTTTCAGCCCTGTGTAGAGTGATGTATCCAATGCAAAAGTTTCATGTAGAGTGTGTGGTGGTTGCAGCATTTTTGGCTGTTTGTTGACACTGGTTGACTTATTATAGCAGCTACTTAGATAAAAAAAAAAATAAGATTAATTGTAACATCAGTGAATCCAAACTTCATTTATTTTATTTGCATTTGAGTTTCATATCTGCAATAGTTTGTAGTTGCTAAATTTTAAGGAGTAAATTCTCATTTCTCTGAGTTGCATATGTGGAAAGATGTTAACACAAAGCCCTTGGGACCGTCACAGACACAAGGTCCTCACAGTTCAGAATGTTCCATTCATTGATGCACTCATAACTTACTTATAAGTCTACCACTAATTGCTGAGCTAATCATCATGCTTGTATGTTTTAGTAGCAATTTAACACAAAGTAAAAACAAACAAACAAAAACACATAAAATAATTTTTGCTGTCAACTACAATTAAGATACTTATTCATGGCAGGAATGCAAAACATGAATAAAACAACTTTTTATTTTAATTGTCATTTGAAATGTTCTTTCATATTCAAGTGAAAATGTAGTATGGCCATCCTTTTCATAAAAATCTATTTGAGGCCCTTTATCATTATAGTATTTCCAGATTTATACCAGGAATACTAAAAAAAAAAAAAAAAGGAAATAATAGAAATAAGAAAAGTGGGTATTTTTCTCTTTATTATGCCTTACTAAATATTAGCATATTTTGCCTAAAATCATTATCAGTTTACAATTCTTCATTTTGAAAGTGTTCTTGCATGAAATATCACACCAAGTATGCTAAAAAAAAAACAAATGCCTTTTGGCGGTTCTCAGTCAATAATCACATGCTAAAATAATTACCCACTTGGACTATTCACTGCTCAAAGAGAAAAAACAGCACAAGGTAAGGTAATTTTCTCTATTTGAAAATGAATTAATGCATCCAGTGTCCTTGCATGATCCCTTTCACTTAAAACTCCAACATCAGTTTTTAAGAAGATATTTCATCAGTTTTCCCAATATACCTGTGAGGAATGAGCTAGAAGTATGGTGCCAATGGAGAAGTCAATAACATAGTGTGAGGCAATAGAGCAAATGTGACTCACATAGGTTTCAGCGACTTCCAGGGTTGAACAGTAAATCGACACTCATCTAGTTGTTAAAGGACTTCATTGTTGAAGATTAAATTAATTTGAATATAGGTATAGCTTAATAGCCTTCATTCACTTTATGGTATGCTGGTATTTCGTGATTTAATTATAGCTTGGGTATACACAAGTTTGAGAACTTGGAGTAACTGGTTACCTATGCCTTCCATCTCAGATCTGGACTCATGTATCCGGGAGAAATTTGCTAAAATTTAGTCATCTAAGTTTACATTCACAAAATAGATAATTCACCAAGCTAATATATTAATAACTCTATACTAAAAATGGCTTAAACCCTTTTGTAATAAACATAGTACATGCATATAAGATGCAAAGTGGCATAACATTTTAATCTCTCTCAGTTTTATTTGTGTGTGTATGTGTGTGTGTTCCAGAAATTATGTGGGTGCTCTTCACTTAATCTAAAAGATTGGTATAGACAATCTGCAACTAAAATTTAACAGAAAATAAAAACATGAAGTGGTTTAAAATCTAACAGGTTTCACATTTCAAGACATTCTGAGAGATTTATAAACAAGGAAGATTAGAATTGCAAATATATAAAGACAATGACTATAACCTTAAGAGATATAACAAATCTCACATAAAAGAAAGGGATCAAGCTAAAAATTAAAATATAATATTCATCCAATTACCAAAATGAAGCAAGAGTGGGTAAAGGAGAAAAAAAGGGATGAAGAAATGGAGCACAGAGAAACTGTAGGGCAATGAAAATACTCTGTATGAAGCTATAACAAGAGAGACATGCCATTATACACTGTCTAAAGCAAGTAAGTGTACATCACCAAGAACTCTAAGATAAACTATGGACAATATGGTGAAAAAGTTGTGCCAATGTAAGTCCATCAGTTCCAGTAATATCACTTTGGTGAGGGATGCTGGTACTGTGGAAGATGGTTGTGGAGGCAGAGTGTGTGGGTTATCTCTGCACTCTGGGGTTAATTTTGTTGTGAATAAAAAACTGCCATAAAAATAAAATCTATAGTCCCTCCCTGGTGGCAGCAGGTTAAAGCACAGCACTACGAAGCTAAAGCCACTTCAGCATGAGTTCATTTCCTGCCCTGGAGGTGACCCACCTGGTGTGGCAGACCTCTCCTGACCAGCCTGCTGCTCCCCTCAGCAGTGCACTTCATCGATCTGCCTGTTCTGTTCCCCACTCTGCCTCTAGTGAATACTCTCAATGCCCCTGCACCTCTGACCTGTACCCAGTTCTGTATGCACAAATAAATAAATCTTAAAAAATAAATAAATAAATCTGTCCCTCTCTGGCGGCACAGTGGGGTAAAGCACAGCATAAGAAGCTAAAGCCACTTCCACATGAGTTCAATCCTCGCCTGCCCCCGAAGTGACCCACATGGCACAGAAGACCTCTCCTGATCGGCCCACTGCTCCCCTCAGCAGTGTACTTCGTTGATCCACCTGTTCTGCTCCCTGCTCTGTCTCTGGTGAATCCTCATACTGCTTCTGCATCCCTGGCCTGTACCCAGTTCTGTATGCACAAATAAATAAATAAATCTTTTAAAAAATAAAAAATAAAAATAAATAAATCAATATTTAAAAAAAAATAAAATAAAATCTATACTTAAAAAAAAACAAACCTGAATGTATATATGACTCCACATGGCTCTATTTCAATCAGTTCTGAGAAGTAAGAAAACTTTGGCAGAAAAAGACATCAAACAATGACTTGATATTTACTTTGTAACTGGAACTTGTATTTGTATCCACTGAGGAAAAAAAAAATAACAGAAATAGAAGCACTAACAAAGAAGCTATATGAAGATTCAGATCAGAGTAAAGGAGAGTGAGTCTCACAGGAAGGAAAGAGGAGCAAACAGAGATGTTGAGAGAATTGGGTTGGGATTAAGTTTGTTTCATTTAACAAAAGAGGAAATCATCTATACTGCAAAGCACACATTCCGAAAGGAAGAATTCTGAAACCTGTCCAGGAGAGTTAAACTGTTTTTGGAGTTTCTCACATATCCTTTTTAATAAAACAAATAAAGGGAAATAAAGTTTTAGAAGACTTTAGATTTGACCAACAAGGGAATAACAGAAAATTTCTATCTTCAATAGTTCTTTTGAATGTGATTTTAAAGAGAATACATGACAGTTCAGTATCTATATCCTCTATCACTCTGCAATTAACAAAACCACTTTCTCTCTAATGCCCCAGAATTGCAATGATATTTCATGGCAAAAGATGACAGCAGATCTTTGTTTGGGATTTATTTATTTGGGAGAAAATTATAAAGCTTTGTGTTTATTTGTTTGCTTTTACTTACAGTCTTTTTAATGAGTCCAGGTGAGAAAAACTCCCAGGTGGTATTTTAGATAATTTGTTGTTATGTAAAAATCTAAAAAATAAAAGATAACTTTTAATCACAATATAGTAACAATGTGTTTAGGGGATAATGTTTTAAAAACTAATTATAAATCCAAATACATATTTTAAAGTATTTCAATGATAAAGTTCAAAGACAAAATATGGTCCTTTATTCAAGCACTTGGTTTACATGCATATAGAGTTTTGCATGTCTTTATCTTCTATCACATTAATGTTTTCTCAGTTATCTTTTGAGCTTTTTCTTTGACTTAGAAAATATCAATGCGGGCTCTCCCTAGTGGCACAGCGGGTTAAAGCACAACACTAAGAAGCTAAAGCCACTTGAGCATGAGTTCAATCTCTGCCCCAGAGGTGATCCACATTGCTCAGCAGACCTCTCCTGACCCACCCC